GGAGTCGAAACCCACCGAGACCAGTGAACGTTTTACAATCGCCATATAAAAACTGACTACATTGTGGAAGTGTAGTTATTTTACTCAGATTGATGTGAATGGTATCATTTTTCAAAATTCCACTTGATTATTGTCAGATATTTATTTCAAAATCGGAGTACCCTACGAATATGAAGTTCACTCCGGGTTTTACCGACCCATTGGGAGAAACTTTAAAAGCAGACGAGTGTAGTTAATAACATTCCCTTTGAAAGGTGTCATTAACATGGTTAGTGGACGGATTCTCTGGATTTCGCCACAACTGAATGATGAGTTCAGGTAGTGGACTCCTTCAGCCTCGATTGATGACTGATCGAGCGTGTCAGCAAAAGCTGTCATGGCGATATGAGAAAAAATAAGTTTCAGTATAAATTTCTTATAACTGACGAAAAGTTACCATAGATCCACTCACCGGACGACAACCAAATATTGTGGACAGGCTTGTGTATCTTCCGGTTCAAGCTGAAAAGACAGACCACAATTATCATCCGGTGTAGTGATCTCGGACATCAGCAAAGCTTGATACACTTCACTGTTGTCTGCCGCGATTCGTGATGGCGGTAGCTGTGATCGGTTGGTTGTCGGATCGACACTGGTGAAACTCGGAGGGGTAAAGTCTTTGGTCTGGAAAATTGTGTGCACAAAATTGTGTTATCAGTAAGTAGCGTACATATAATCAGAAAATAAAACTCATTTACGTATACACAGTCAACTCGCTTGATTATGTAAGTTATACAACTACAAATATCAACACAAACTGAGAGGAAATTTAGCTTAATGCAACAGAAAACATGGTATATATTGCAGTGTGATGGTGTGCCCATTCTTTATCAGAGAGGCGTTTCTTTTCTGAAATACGTTATTGGGAAACCAATTCTGCATACTAATACTAAATATGATCAGTAAAACTGAGTTAACATTGAACCTAAAGACTGTAACAATCACAAATACATTCAGAAAAGACAAGTTTCCTACACTGACTACATCCGCTGTTTTCAATGCATTTGTAGTGCAATATACAGTATCTGTTTGATGAGACAGCCATCTGAAAGTATTAAACGGTATCACATTGACTGTAGCTTGGTGGAGCAATAGTAGTGGCTGCAATGGTTAACCATCTGGCTGGGACAGGAAATCAATTGAATAACGAATTCAAACTCTGGACATTCCACCGACTGTTCTGTTTCCCACGATTACAGTTCTCAGAGTGAGCAAGAGATCTTGAACCAAGATTGTCCCGATGAAGTACTGTAACATGGTCTCGATGACTTAAGAGCTAACTGTTACGCAACTATCCCCTGCTAGAGAAAAAGCGGTTTAATGGTTCGTCCACTTCATCTTGAAAGCAGTTTCCAATAAATGAGTCGCGACAAAAAGCGCTGGTCTTAATGTCAAGGTAACCCGTTTGTCCTAGTGTGTTACCCTCGTCAAACTCTTGTGGATTTTCACACGGAGAAGTCTTATCAAGCAAAATCCCACCACGTTCTCAGGTGCTGCCGTACCTCTAAAACGAAGGCTTCATATAGTGGGCCCCTCAGTGATCTCGACCAAACTGCTAGAGCCACTATGTAAGGCACTGTCCTAGATTTGACCGACAATAATAAGTAAGTAATCAAAGCTGTTTTACCATACCAGTATACGGCAACAGGGCAACAGTTTTATACAACCAACATGAACAACAATATCGATTCATGCAGCAGTCCCAATGCAACTCACTTTGGCTATAACAACTTCAAACGGTTTATCGGTTGATTCCAGGCGCAACGAAGTTCCATTCGTATAGAGTGACAATGAAACAGTTTCAGATGAGAGGTCCACCGAGATTCTGCTTCCACTTGTCTTTAAAAAGCTGAACACATTCTCTGTTGTGGTGACAGACTATAAAGACACACGCATGCAGATGAGAAGCGGATGGGGGGGGGGAAGGGGTGTGTGGAAAAAACAATAAAATCCGATCCAAAATCTAAATAAAACCAGATACTAACTAAAACCAATGTCAGAATAAAGGGGTAATCAAACACAAGATTTATTTTTATTTGTGATGTAAATTATTCCGTGACATCCAGCAAACATTGTTCAACTGTTGGTTTGGTCAGACTGTTCAGACGTGTGTACGGCTCTTGTTTTCTTGCCGGGGATCGATCTACGGAACCAAACCCCATTGAAGAGTTCGAATAAGGAATAAATATCCGAGTAGAGCTATATATCGGAAACGGTGTTCCGACTACGTCACACATCCAAGATCAGTAGGCAGTTATTACTCACCCCCCTCCGCCGCCCCCCACACACAGAACAACGACTCTGAAAACGCATAAATACGGTGCACAAACAAGACGTGATTTCATATTTTGATTAGTTTATTGATTTCTTTATGCCGATCACCGTCGTTTACGGTGACTATAGCTCAACATAATATCCTCTTCAAATATATGTTTTAGAACACCCATTATAGAACCAAAGTACTATGCACATAATGATTCAAGCCTGAGCACTGAATCAATGCGACTCGTAGGAATTGTGAGGAAACTCGTTTTCTGGGACATATCACATGGCTGATTCAAACCCGTCAACGTGTGAGGTGGCACAATCCATTTAAGAGAGCTGCAAACCCTTATTTTAACTGATTAGAACATCATAATCTCAATTTATAACTAAGTTGGACAAGATTTAACCCTACTGTGTGTTAGGTAAAAAGATTACTTTCACCCAAAACTGCCTATTTTTCGAGTATTTTAAAATTTATTTTTTTGATAATTCAAATTTTTTTGGCTTTTTTTCTTGGTGCTAATCGTCCACATCCAGCTGGCGGCCACTGATTGGTCCATTCTGTAAATTTCCTCTTTTTTTGCATTTCATTCCCAAGGTCTCTGTGTCCAGAGACCAGAACAGTATATAACCAGCCGATTTTCCACTGCAAATTTGACTTGCTTCCTGTGTGTCAAGTACATGTTCGCTGTGCACTGTGTTCTTGCTTACGTAGCTGGGAGAAGACTACTAGTGCTCGTGGTGACTAATCTGTGCTGTGATCATGCTCGCGGGGCTAGACGACTAGTGTGGTTGTTGAGGTACGTGCTCCGTAGTGTTCGGACCTACCTCGAGTCTCTGTGTGAGTTCGCACTCTGTGATATCGTGCACGTCATTCGTGAACGTCCACTCTGTGTTTCATCGATTACTGTCGACAGTGGGTGCCACTATCATTGTGTTGTGTTGTGTTCATCGACTCCTCTTCGGGCACATTGGGCCTCACGCAGTTCTGTGTCACTCCAAGTCACTGTCATTGTCCTTCCGTTGGTCACACGTGTGCGTCATCGTGTTACCTTGTGTGATATCTTGTGTGTCATCGTGTGTCATCTTCAGCGTCATCATGTGATATCTTGTATTGTGTTACATTGTGATTGGTCGGAATCGACACAACACCGTGTTTCACAACCTATCCCAAGAGTATTTTCCAAATAAATTATTTGCATTTGAGATTTTCATTACGGTTAGCAAACGTGTCCATGTGCATTTGTTTTTATTCGTGATCGATTGAAAACAAGTCTGAAGTTTAAATATGACAAATCGAGATGGGGTCAAAATTTGACAGAATCAGATATATGCATTGCGGAAATACGGAACGCAAATGGAATAACCTTTATCCAGATCTAATAGATAATCCAAGCATACTAATCGAATATGACTGCGACGTCATTTGAGGATGAGTCGTTTTTCATCCGTCTCAGTAATAAAAAATGTGAACGCCATTCGCTCGCTGAAATTATGATATAATTTTTCGATTATCCCTGCAGCGAACACAGGTGAATGTTTTCATCTGGTTTGAGCTGTTACACCTCCTTTTGCTTCTGCTTCGATTAGTGCACCCGAACCTGACTTTAGGAGGTTGGGGATGGGTTGCTAGAACAACGCTGCATTCCGCATGCAATACACAAGCTATTCACTTAGCTTTGTCCTTAAGAATAAGTTTCTTTTAATTCACTCCTGTGTCTAATGATGTAAGTTTCGAATTCTTCGATGGCGCTAACTCTGTGAAGTATCTTGGATTTACTTTGTCACACAATCCTTCTTGGTACAAACATTTTGAAAAAAACTTATATTAGGGTTCGTAGGCTATCCTTCTACGCTTTTAGGCTTAAAAAGCTCGGCGTTCCCCTAAATGTAATTCTTAAATTTGACTGCATGTGTTTT